GCAATGGCTTCATCGTAGCACCCAACTTCCACAGAAGCTTGGCCTAAAAAGAAATGACCTTTAACTAAAGCCGTGTCTATCTCTATCGCATGTTTGCAGTCTTGCATGGCCAGTTCCCACTGCTGTAGTTTGAGATAGCACAGAGCACGGTTGGTGTAAAAGGTGGCGGTGTTTGCATTTCGCAACTGAAAACAAAGAAAACAGCCAAATTTATATTATGAATAGTATCTGCTAGTACTGACCAATCCTATGTTCTATGTTCTCTCAGGAATTTTGAATATGACAGTATTGCCATGATCAGCCACAGAAATGACATGTTTACGCAAAAACAGAAAGGTTACCAATTATTTCTATTGCAACAAAATTGATATGCAAATTAGACATTATACAGATATTAGCTATTAGGCCTACCATAGTAATTACCGGGGTATATGTCTTTTTGAAGTGTGTGGTGGCCCTGATAATGGCCATTTGGATTGTGCTTTTATGCATTTCACATGACCTGTTGCGACCGTTAAAGGTGTTAAAAACTTCCTCCACACTCAGTTCACCTTTCGAAAATTGAGTCTTTTCGTCAAAATCAGAAGTAACACAATGTCTTTTAACATTGCAGTAATTCACTTCTACATTACATCATCAATCATTGGAAAATTTCATCAGTACGACATTGATTGGTTAACGACAGACTTGACCTGTTAGGTCAGAGGACGTTGTTTCAGGTCAAGTCATGTTGAAAAACATCATGGTGGAAATTGCTTTGCATCAAGAGTTTGCGTACGATCGAAAACATCCCACAACGAAGATAATGATAAAGATCTTGCATTCAACTGTTTTCCCATACACCTTAATTAATTTTACATCTTAATTTCAGACGATATGAAATTCCGCATTTCGCATTTTTTTTCTTGAATAAGATGCTTCCCCTAGCCCGGCATGGTGAAAGAAAGATGTAATTTGGATAATTTTTCGAGGGTAGTAATTATGGTTACAATGTTAAGGAAACAAACAAATTCATCTTTCCTGAGGTGGTCACTGGGTACATGTACTTATAAGTCCACCCCTTATTTTCCCCAATTTTACATGCTGAGGCCGCTGGCTTATGACCTGAGAAGTACGGTAAAAGTGATATATTTTTTTGCAACATTAAAGGGCCAGGTATACTATAAATATGCTTCTAAACAATAGGAATTATTTCCTTGAAAGTTATACTGTAGTAAACAGCTCCAGCCACACTCCTGTTAAAGACGTGTTTTCTCGAACTTACAGATTGATTATGTCGTGCCAATGACTATGCAGTGATATATACAATGTAGTATTTATGACAATAAATAGTATAGGAGTTGAGATTTTGTCAGAGAAACGTCAAAAACACTAACCAGAAAAAGGGATACGCTACTACGGTAAGCTTGAATAAGTAACTGCTGGAACAGGTTGCATCATCTAATCTCCTAAAACATTTACACAGTTTCTAATATTTTTCTCATTATCACATAGCGGATTCAGCGAAGACAATGAAAATCGTGTTCACAAATTTAAAAAGTCGCCACAGAGAGTACAAGACAGAAATATCGTAGAAAATAATAGTGTTTTACTGAAATGAATACTGTGTTTAGTTTTGTTTACTGTTACTGTTACTTGGTAATAAAGAGTGAATTTGAGAAATAGCGCAGCATATAACGGTAAATGGAACAAAAATGAGACTTGGACCAGATAATATCTAGAGTTGCAGGTGATGGACAAATAATGTTACATGCGACTCAGTACGATTAATTTACTTGCTTCCTCATGGCTTTTTTACAGTTGTTTAAGAAAATGGCAAATTCACGCCCACGCGCCAGCACATAGCTAAATCGTGACAATTTTTGTTTTCTCTTAACGTAAAACGTAACTACATGTACTAAATCTAGCCTTCACAGTCACACTAACAGTAGGTGAACAAATGACTAAAAAATATTTATTTTAGATAATACAAGTTTCTTGTAAGAACCTTGTTTCGTTGATTACAGATTTCCTGGTTATCTGTAATTAATGAAACGAGCCATTTACTAATTAAAATCCCGTTATTGTCAGCAAATGTTTTATGTAGTTATATACACGACTGAAAGGTAAATATACTGGTCAAGTTTTGACAACAATTGTGAATATTGTACGTGTAAGACCCTTGTTTCGTGATTACAGATTTCCGATTATCTGTAACTGGCGAAACGAATGTTTTATGTCGTTATATACACTACTGAAAGGTGAATATACTAGTCAAGTTTCGACGGACAGTTGTAAATATTGTACGTGTATTACCTTGTTTCGCTGATTACAGATTTTGGATTATCTGTAATTAGCGAAACGAACCATTTACTTTATTTTAAATGTTGTTATTTTCGGCAAATATGTTGTAAATACTGTGCGTATAAAACCCATTTTCTCTTATTACATTAAATTTTTTATTATGTGTGTCACCCCGTTTCGTTTCGTTTCTTTGATTACAATAAGCCTCAATACAACAACAATTCACATGTGGGAAAACAAAAACGTTCATAACTTACGATAGCCTTTGTGTAACAATTTATTGCGTCGTCATATTTTCTAGCAGAAAAGAACCGGTTGCCCTGGTCTTTCAGTTCCATTGCACACATTTCTGTGCATTTAGAAGGTGATTTGCGACCACAACAGGACAGAATATTCGGTTGTTTCCGACGACGACTACGTCGAAGCATTAACAGATCAACAAACAAAATGGCTGACTGAATTGTATTTACTCGTATCTGCGCGTGACCTTTACTCCAAACGATTTGATATAATAGAGGGCGCTTCACGGATTGTCCTTCAGTGTCAGGGCTCATATCACTAATTGAATTTCCATAGACGACAATGTTAACATATGACGAGATTGTTATATATGAAAATGATGAAGAAAGTTGAAAACATGGCTCAAAAATGGGAAATCAACATGCCAGTAATCAACCATATGAAAAAAACTAACACGTTGGCCAGCTCAAACTCTTGCAAATATCAGGTAAACAAGACACACCTACTGTATTTGGGCCGCACCAAGAGAAATCACTGGAAAAACACCAAGATTAGAACACCCAAATACACACAGAATAAGCCCACAGGTACACAGCCGCTAGTAGTAAACAAACGACCACATGTTGGTCTCACCTTTGACCCTGGGAGCACCTGAGAAAAAAAAAATATTTAAAAAAATTCATTGGTTCTTGCAAGGCAACCATTGGTTGATTAGTGGCATGAGACCTGTAACAAATTCACGTCAAATCGTTGAATGTAGAATGTATTGTAATTTACAAGTAGTAAATAATAATCAGTGTATCAGTGATTTGTATTTTTTGCATTGTCGGCAAATCACCCCGATATACTATAATAAACAGCAGTATTTACAATATATTCGCGTCAGTTTCTTGCCAATCCTTGGGGCGGAGCTACGTCACCAGACGTTCAACGTTGCTAAGACGCGCATACTGTACCATGTATTTTAATAAATTAATAAACGCTGCTTGGGACTGATAAATGTGATATATAGA